TTTCTAGCGGTTTTATCCAGTCGCGTTTTTGTGCAATCGTGCGCTTTTGTCCCTCGCGCTTTTGTTCCTCGCGCTTCTATCCAGTCGCGTTTTTGTCCATCGCGCTTTTGTCCTGTCGCGTTTTTGTTCCGTGCTTTTGTCCCTCGCGCTTTTCGTATCGCGCTTTTCTCCCTCGCGCAAACGGTTGTCACGCAAATGACACAGACCCCATGCATAAACTGGCATTCTTTAATTGTTGATTTCAACCAATCAGATTGCGATTACGTGATAATTTGTACTAGTGCAGCATTATCGGATTGGATAATTGCTCACTAACGGGTGGCATTTGAAATTTTTTCTGATTGATGACATTTTATACTTACGAGGATATACTAAAAATTTAAATTTTTGATTCATGAAATTCTCTCATAAAATACAACTCGAGCAATGGAAATATATCTATAATTTTTGACAAATTTGCTCTCATGCATTTTTAACTGGAAAAGGCACTCGTCCCTCGTGCTTTTTTTCAACTAAAAATGCATTCGGGAAAATTTGCCAAAAATTATCGATAATTTCCATTTTATCCCAATTTAATTTTATTTTATTTTCTGTATAAATGAGCACACGATATTTCTCTTTTTGATTTTTAAAACCTATAAGGCCTCCTCCAATAGAGTTTTCCTAAACTAAAGAAAAGAAAACTGAAAAACTATTCTCAAAAAATTTAGAAATTAATATTTGTTCCAACAAATGTTGAGTTTCATTAATTAAAATATACAGGGTGCATAAAAATTAAGGGTGGGAGATCATTTATAACGGAACACCCTTTTACTTACCTTATTTTATACTGCCCTTCGTTTTTTGTGATGATGTCGGTCTAACTTAACGGCAAGCTTGCGAAACACAAGTTTTTTTCAAACACGATTTTTTCATGGAGTAAAAGAGCAGCAAATTTTTGGGTTTTCACATTTAATTATTGGCAAAAAGCGGCAAATTTTCACAGTTTTTCTCTACCACTCAATTTTTCTCTACCGTCATTTTTGATGATACTGTTTTGCTCACTTGATGTCCACTTAGCGAAACACATCATATTTTTTTCAAACGCGATATTTTCCACTCACTTAATTTATCACTACCGACATTTTTAGTGATCTCGCTAACTTTACGTTAAATTAGCAAAACATTATTTTATTTTCGAACACTATTTTCTTATGAAAAGAAAGGTAGCGGCAAATTTTTAGTTTTCACATCTAATTAGCGGCAGAAAAACGGCAAATTTCCATTCACTCAACTTATCACTACCGACATTTTTAATGATAATAGAGAGTTTTCGTTGTATTGGCAAATTCGAACGGTTAACCATAACGGATACGAAAACAAAGCCGCTATTTGACAGATCGTAAAAATAGTTTTCGTTCAATCCGCTTAACGTTAACGTTAAGTCGAATTCGACAAACATAACCTTTCTTTAATGGTTTGTGTTTATCATTGTGTTAATATACGTTTTGTACTTTGTTTTAATTTCTTAGTACCCAAAATTCATTAATTTTCCCTGTAGGCTTTACAAAATTGGCTACTACAAAAGCCTATTTAGATGCATCGTCATATAGGAGGGGTTGTTGGCCAATATTTCTTCTAATGAAATAATAAATACTTAAGAGAAGTTCGTGTCCTATTGGTATCCAATGAAGAGGGGTGATTCGTAGGTTAGGACAAAAAATAGAACGCCTGTTGAGTCTTTACCAAGTTTCGCCCAAAAGTTTAGGGCTCCATCAGGGCTTGTACTTAAAAAATGATGTGGCCAGAATTATAAAAAATAGTGCGAGATTTTCAGGATGGAACACTCGATTGTACATAATATAATAAATAATATTGTCCTCATCCGTGAAACGATTTCTCGATCTTTTGAGGGAATTTAGAATCTATTTCGAAAACCAAAAACATTTAAAAACAAAAACAAACCACAACAAAAACATAGGAAATACGCATGCTTTCCGTTTTCGCTATGGTTTTGTCTTCCGTCCGTAAGCTCCCGGCACTTATCGGTAACGATAACGATAAATGCTAGCTCAAATGTCAAATTTGTCAAATAGCGGCTATCGGAATCGCTTTTAAAAGACAACGAAAACTCTCTAATCAGGCCTATGATGTATCATTTTCTGTTATTTTAACAGCAACGTTAAGTTATCTGTCACTGTTTATTCTACACGTAAAAATAGAGACAGGTATAAGTTTTGAGCTATAACACAACTGGTAAAATAACAGGAGAGGATACATCATAGGCCTGATTGTCTCACTAACTTGACGTCAAGTTAGCGAAACCCATGATTTTTTTTTCAAACTTGATTTTTTGTAAAAAAAAGAAGCGGCAAATTTTTGGTTTTCACAACTAATTAGCGGCAAAAAAACGGCAAATTTCTATTCATTCAACTTATCACTACCGACATTTTTAGTGATAATGTCTCGCTAACTCGACGTCAAGTTAGCGAAACAAATGATTTTTTTTTTCAAACTTGATTTTTTATGGAAAAAAAATGAACCGGCAAATTTTTGGTTTACACAACTAATTAGCGGCAAAAAAACGGCAAATTTTCATCTGCCTAATTTTTTACTGCTGACATATTTAGTGATGTTGTCTCGCTATCTTGACGTCAAGTTAGCAAAACACGTAATTAAGAAAAAACTAAAAGAGCGGCAAATTTTTTAATTCCACATTTAATTAGCGGCAAAAAAGCGGCAAATTCTTGGCATAACGGAAAATCGATTTTCCAAAGTTGTCTCGCTAAGTTGATAGACATAATTTTTTCAGTATTTGTGTATAATTTTTAATAACGTTATTTTTCTATGTACTAACTAATTTTTTGTTTAAACAATACCTATCACTTTTTCCGAAATTAACTTTACTTTTTCCGAAATTAACTTTACTTTTTCTGAAATTAATTTGACTTTTTCCGAAAATGATTTTACATTTTCCTAAATAAAAGTAACTTTTTCCGAAATTGAGGTTGAAATGGTGTAGAACCAATATATGTAGAACCTAATTAAAGTACACTGATTGGAATTGAACCCGTCAGGGTACGGGTTCGACTGGAGCTTTATAGTCACTGCTAAATTTACTCTTTATCAATTCGAATTATTCTAAAAAATAACATTACTTTCTCCATAATTAAATGTACTTTTTCCGAATTTGAATTTACTTTTTCCGAATTTGAATTTACTTTTTCCGAAATTTACTTTACTTTTTCTGAAATTGATTGGACTTTTTCCGGAAATGACCTTACATTTTCCCAAATAAAAGTTACTTTTTCTGAAATTGAGGTTGAAATGGTGTAGTGCCTAAAAGTGTCATTCATTATTCAGAAATAAAAAACACACTTAACACATTATTTGAATTTTGTTTTGTATTTATTATGAATATTGAAAATGGAATTACTGAATTGAACGTTTGGGTTACTCTAAACAGAACTTTGTGTTGTTACCTACTTTCTAGGATTTTAATTATTGATGTCGAATCTTGAAAAAAAAATCGCATGAAAAGTTTCAGGTGTCAAGTAAAAGCAGGAAACAAAGAATTTGGGCGTAATCGATTTATTCAAAGGAAATAAAATTTGGTTTTTTTATTATAAAATGCCAGTAGAAAAAATCTTGTATACAATACGTTACGAAACGATGTCTTTTAGTCACTCGACGTGTTGTCCAACTCGGCTTTGCCTTGTTGGACAATTTTCACGTCGCGTCCCTAAAAGACGCTCATTTCGTAACTTATTGTATAAAGAGCTATTTCGATACAATAATAATTACATAGTTGACTTTTTTTCAGCAAATAATTTTCTTGCCACCTATGAAAAACCAGAACTGGATGTTAGAAACATGTTGGATGAAAAAAGAAAACAGCAGGTTCTAGAAAACCGCGAAAGGTTAATTCCAATAATAAAAACTCTTATTTTACACGGACGACAAAACATTCCATTAAGGGGTCATCGCGACGATGGGCCGCTGTTTGAGTTTGAAGAAGAAGAAGAACTGAACATAATGAACTGAACTTAGTTAAAAATAAAGATGGGTGCTTTCGAGCCCTTCTTCGTTTTAGAATTGACGCTGGTGATGTGAGATTAGAAGAACATCTAAAAAATACAGGTGCGCGCGCCACTTATATTAGTAAAACTATTGCAAATGACCTAATTAACTGTTGCGGAGAGCAAATTTTATCCGAAATTATTTCAAAAATTAATCAATGTCGGTTTTATTCCATTATTTTTGATGAAACTACCGATATTTCTAACACATCTCAATTAAGCTTGTCAGCTAGGTTTGTCATCAAAAATCAAGCAGAGGAACGATTTTTAGGATTCTATGACCTTCATAATAGTTATTTACCTAACAAATGCGGAAAGTGATACTTTACCGCACGCAACGGCAGTTGACCGAACGACGCGAAGCGGAGTTCGGTCAAGCCGTTAAGGGCGGTAAAGGCACTTTCCGCATGTGTTAGGTACAAAATTTTACCTATGAGCATCTACATCTCCAAAAAAAGGCATTGATAAAATTAAATAATGAATCAGATTAATTAATGAAATGAGATTTAATTTAGAAATGATCAAAAATCCATTTTCTGTAAAAGTAAGGAATTTTGATTATAAATATCAAATTCTACTTAACCGCACACTATGCGGTAAAGTGCACTTTACCGCACACTTTGTAGTCTACTTTACCGCACACTATGCTGTAAAGTTAACTTTACCGGTTTTCACCATAAGAGCAGCAAATGTACAAAGAATGAAGTATGTAGTAACTGTGCCAGAAATCATAGTACCCATGAATGTGACCAACATATAAAAAGGTGTATAAACTGTATAGTGGCCAATGAAAACCATAAACTTCAACTCAACATAGATCACACATCACTCGACCCAGAATGTCCATCTCTATCACAGATTATAACTCGCAAGTAAATGGTATTTAACGCTCAAGATGATATATTGGAGGAAATAAATGAAGAAAATGGGAATCAAGGTGAAATGGTGGACCAAAAGAGGTTAGACATTTTTAAAACTAAAAAATCTTTATTAAGCTTAATCCATTTCAATATCAGAAGCTTAAACAAAAATATTGATAGTTTAGTTACTTTTTTAGAAACATATAAATTGCATTATATGGATATTATTGTGCTTACTGAAACCTTTCAGATTGACTCAATAGATAACTGTAACATTCCAGACTATAAGGTCTACTATAATGAGGCTAATTATAATAAAAACGATGGTGTTGTAATACTAGTTAAAAAAAATCTAAATGTTGATTTCTCCTTTATTCAATTGACAAACTCAAAAGCAACCATCAGTAGAATGAATTTTGAAATGAATGGCACAACATTTGGTCTAACAGCAACATATAAGCCACCACCCATTCCAAAAACTGATTTTATAAATGACATATATACATACCTAGAACCAATGACTTTTGCCAATATTGAAATTTTTGTGGGAGATATCAATATAAATATTTTGGAGAAAAACGACAACTTGGTTACAAATTATCTTGCTATGATGAGCTCGCTGGGTTTTCGGTCATACATCAACTCAATAACGAGACCTATTTCGAAAACTTGTCTGGACCATTTGTTCGTTAATCAAAAATTAAAATCTAATAATTTATACTTCGATTCCTTTATATTGCAAGAAGATATAACCGATCACAGCCCAATAATGTTTTTAGTCAGCCAAAAAGAAAAACCGCAAGAAAATTTAATACATCCCCAAAATAACACTAAAGCTAAATTGGATATCACCAAATTTAAACTTCTATTACAAAATTATGATTGGTCAAATGTAATTAATAAATGTAATCCTGAAACAGCAACAACAATTTTCTTGGAAACTTATCAACAATTGTTGTCAAGCGCCACTCAAACCTACACTGTAAAACACAAAAAGCTCAAAAAAATTAAGGACTGGATTAGTAACGGCATTATCACATCAATTAAAACTAGAGATAAAATGAAGAAAAAATTGTTAAAAAATTTTAATCCCCAATTGGAAAAAGAATACAAGGAATACAGAAACAATTTAAACAAACTTATACATAAACAAAAGAATAATTATTATAAAAGGCAAATTGAAAGTAATAAGAATGACATGAAAAAACTTTACAAGATAATTAAAGATGCTACTTACGAAGATAAGAAAAACCACAATACTTTTCTAAATATAAAAAATAAAGAGGGCCAAAATTTCAACCGGTGTGAAGTTAGCAGCCTTTTTGCAGCAGCCAAAAATGTGAAGTTAGCAGCCATTTGTAGCAGCCAAAATTGTGAAGTTAGCAGCCATTTTTTGGCAGCTCTTTTTTTTTAAATGGTTGATTTACAAACTTTGTGTACATTATTATTATATACCCTCGGGCAAAGTACAACAGAAAAACAAAACAAAAAACTACCCCTAATAAAACATCAAGTAGAACATTAATATCTACAAAACAACTTTTTTAAAATAAAATGTGACACCATGAAATTTAGAATAGTCTTTAACATAGCCCTCAAGTACGTCTAGTTCGAAGAACAACCCTTTATTGCCGTCAGGCTGGGATCAACCCTTATTATTAAAATAATTGGAAAAGCACATTTCGGAAAAATGTAACACCATCAAACTCAGTGAAACGATCATCAGAACCATTTCGAACATTCCCACCAAAGGACAACCCCTTACCTGCCGTCAGAGTGTGTTAAAAACTACCCTTAGTACGAAAATAATAGAAAAAAATTGGAAAAACACATTTCGAGAAACTGTAACGCTCTGAAACTTGATTGCGACGATAACTAGAACCATTTCGAACATTCCCATCAAAGGACAACCCCTTACCTGCCGTAAGAGTGTGTTAAAACCTACCCTTAGTACGAAAATAATAGAAACAAATTGGAAAAACACATTTCGAGAAACTGTAACGCTCTGAAACTTGATTGGGACGATAACTAGAACCATTTCGAACATTCCCACCAAAGGACAACCCCTTACCTGCCGTCAGAGTGTGTTAAAAACTACCCTTAGTACGAAAATAATAGAAAAAAATTGGAAAAACACATTTCGAGAAACTGTAACGCTCTGAAACTTGATTGCGACGATAACTAGAACCATTTCGAACATTCCCATCAAAGGACAACCCCTTACCTGCCGTAAGAGTGTGTTAAAACCTACCCTTAGTACGAAAATAATAGAAACAAATTAGAAAAACACATTTCGAGAAACTGTAACGCTCTGAAACTTGATTGGGACGATAACTAGAACCATTTCAAACATTCCCACCAAAGGACAACCCCTTACCTGCCGTCGGAGTGTGTTAAAAACTACCCTTAGTACGAAAATAATAGAAAAAAATTGGAAAAACACATTTCGAGAAACTGTAACGCTCTGAAACTTGAATGGGACGATAACTAGAACCATTTCAAACATTCCCACCAAAGGACAACCCCTTACCTGCCGTCGGAGTGTGTTAAAAACTACCCTTAGTACGAAAATAATAGAAAAAAATTGAAAAAACACATTTCGAGAAACTGTAACGCTCTGAAACTTGAATGGGACGATAACTAGAATCATTTCGAACATTCCCACCAAAGGACAACCCCTTACCTGCCGTCGGAGTGTGTTAAAAACTACCCTTAGTACGAAAATAATAGAAAAAAATTGGAAAAAACACATTTCGAGAAACTGTAACGCTCTGAAACTTGAATGGGGACGATAACTAGAACCATTTCAAACATTCCCACCAAAGGGACAACCCCTTACCTGCCGTCGGAGTGTGTTAAAAAACTACCCTTAGTACGAAAAATAGAATAGGGAAAAAAATTGAAAAACACATTTCGAGAAACTGTAACGCTCTGAAACTTGAATGGGACGATAACTAGAATGCATTTCGAACATTCCCACCAAAGGACAACCGCCTTACCTCTGCCGTCGGAGTGTGTTAAAAACTACCCTTAGTACGAAAATAATAGAAAAAAAATTGGAAAAAACACTTTTCGAGAAACTGTAACGCTCTGAAACTTGAATGGGACGATAACTAGAACTATTTCAAAACATTCCCACCAAAGGACAACCCCTTACCTGCCGTCAGAGTGTGTTTAAAAACCACCCTTAGTACGAAAATAATAGAAAAAAAATTGGAAAAAAACACAATTTCGAGAAACTGTAACGCTCTGAAACTTGAATGGGACGATAACTAGAACCATTTCAAACATTCCCCAGCAAAGGACAACCCCTTACCTGCCGTCGGAGTGTGTTAAAAACTACCCTTAGTACGAAAATAATAGAAAAAAATTGGAAAAACACATTTCGAGAAACTGTAACGCTTTGAAACTTGATTGGGACGATAACTAGAATCATTTCGAACATTCCCACCAAAGGACATACCCCTTACCTGCCGTCGGAGTGTGTTAAAAACTACCCTTAGTACGAAAATAATAGAAAAAAATTGGAAAAAACACATTTCGAGAAACTGTAACGCTCTGAAACTTGAATGGGACGATAACTAGAACTATTTCAAAACATTCCCACCAAAGGACAACCCCTTACCTGCCGTCAGAGTGTGTTTAAAAACCACCCTTAGTACGAAAATAATAGAAAAAAATTGGAAAAACACATTTCGAGAAACTGTAACGCTCTGAAACTTGAATGGGACGATAACTAGAACCATTTCAAACATTCCCAGCAAAGGACAACCCCTTACCTGCCGTCGGGAGTGTGTTAAAAACTACCCTTAGTACGAAAATAATAGAAAAAAATTGGAAAAAACACATTTCGAGAAACTGTAACGCTTGAAAACTTGATTGGGGACGATAACTAGAATCATTTTCGAACATTCCCACCAAAGGACAACCCCTTACCTGCCGTCGGAGTGTGTTAAAAACTACCCCTTAGTACGAAAATAATAGAAAAAAATTGGAAAAAACACATTTCGAGAAACTGTAAACGCTCTGAAACTTGAATGGGACGATAACTAGAACCATTTCAAAACATTCCCCACCAAAGGACAACCCCTTACCTGCCGTCGGAGTGTGTTAAAAACTACCCTTAGTACGAAAATAATAGAAAAAAATTGGGAAAAAACACATTTCGAGAAACTGTAACGCTCTGAAACTTGAATGGGACGATAACTAGAACCATTTCAAACATTCCCACCAAAGGACAACCCCTTACCTGCCGTCAGAGTGTGTTAAAAACTACCCTTAGTACGAAAATAATAGAAAAAAATTGGAAAAAAACATTTCGAGAAACTGTAACGCTCTGAAACTTGAATGGGACGATAACTAGAACTATTTCAAACATTCCCACCAAAGGACAACCCCTTACCTGCCGTCAGAGTGTGTTAAAAACCACCCTTAGTACGAAAATAATAGAAAAAAATTGGAAAAACACATTTCGAGAAACTGTAACGCTCTGAAACTTGAATGGGACGATAACTAGAACCATTTCAAACATTCCCACCAAAGGACAACCCCTTACCTGCCGTCGGAGTGTGTTAAAAACTACCCTTAGTTCGAAAATAATAGAAAAAAATTGGAAAAACACATTTCGAGAAACTGTAACGCTCTGAAACTTGATTGGGACGATAACTAGAACCATTTCGAACATTCCCACCAAAGGACAACCCCTTACCTGCCGTCAGAGTGTGTTAAAAACTACCCTTAGTACGAAAATAATAGAAAAAAATTGGAAAAAAACATTTCGAGAAACTGTAACGCTCTGAAACTTGAATGGGACGATAACTAGAACTATTTCAAACATTCCCACCAAAGGACAACCCCTTACCTGCCGTCAGAGTGTGTTAAAAACCACCCTTAGTACGAAAATAATAGAAAAAAATTGGAAAAACACATTTCGAGAAACTGTAACGCTCTGAAACTTGAATGGGACGATAACTAGAACCATTTCAAACATTCCCACCAAAGGACAACCCCTTACCTGCCGTCAGAGTGTGTTAAAAACTACCCTTAGTCCGAAAATAATAGAAAAAAATTAACAGCTTTGCAATGTAGAAATATTAGAAAATCAATCAAGTCTCAATATTTTGTTAGCTGTAAAACTATAAATCTTGAACTCGAATGGTCCCAATATTAACGGCAACAGCATTCAACAAAACCTAAAAATATTAAGCTCCGTCAAGTTAGCCCCGCCTATTTACTTTTTTCTATTTTTTTTCGTGCTAATGAACTGTGCTCCCAGTGTGCTCTACTGTGCAACCAATATTAGGAACTGTGTTGAGTTGCACTCAATGCTATCCACCAAATTTTGAGGGGGGCCAACTTGACGCTTAGCCCACCAGTTTTTTCGATTATTTTATCGAACAAAAGCAAAAATCAATACCTACAACTTTCAGTTTTTCGTTTAACCCTCGTTTTTGTCAAAAAATCATAGGCGCCGGAAGTTCAAAATTACTATGGGGGCTCGAGCTCCAAAAAAAAACACAAGTGAAATTATTATACAGACAAGACTAGTAGGCTACTATATAGACATATAGGCTTAAATGGGACCAGTTGACTGATACACATTTTACTGCAGGATCGCCAGACTGGATCATTGATCCTCCCTGCATATTATTGAAATTCGTGAATCTCCGGAAGCTCGGCAGTACTCGGCTTTGGCAGCACCGCTTCGATTCGCCTTAACCGAGTAGAAGCTCTTATTAGAAGTCTTATTACTTAAAAATGTGTCTAGTGGAATGATCCGGTCTATATATAAATTTTCCATGATATACTAGGTAAAATAAGCCAGTGTAGGCATTCACGATCAAAAAATGAACTCTGCACCTACCGAAAGGTCCCGTAGTTTATTCCATTGATTGTGTGCCAATCCAGAGCCTACCGATAGGTTCATATTGATTTAAGAATCCGTCGCCTACCTATTGTGCATATAATATGTGCATTTACGTTTGATAGGTGATAGATATATTCGAAAAACCTTTTTCACGTTTGTAGAGGATTTACGCTTCCGAGAATCTCCTCTTCGAGGTTTGGTAAGCGTAGCGAGCAATCGAGAACTCAAAAATAATTTCACACCTAAAAAGGTGTGTGCAGAAGGATTTTCAATAGGTTGCCGTCTAGAATAAAGCAGATTCCAAACATCAACAAGTTTAACGCTCAAATTAGAGAGTACCGAGTGTCAAGTAAGAAAGTACCACCCCTTGTAACTGTTTTATGTACGATCGAAAATAAAAAAGTTACAGGGGATGTTACTCTATAACTTGACACCCTGTACTAATAAACGCTTATTACTCAGTGGATGAATTTCCTAATGACAATTCTACAAACAAAATTTTATTAACGCATTTAGCTAGCGAGAGCTGACTGGTAGGATATACGGTTTAACACCTTCCAGTAGGCATTTGATCAATTGATGAAAAAGGACGTACCACTAGGCACTCAATCGGTGACTGAACAAAGCACCTACTGGTAGGCGTACGATCGTTGGATGACAAAGAGGACCTACCGGTAGATCTAGGGTTCACTCCCTATTTATATTCATGTGATGTAAACATATCATAAAAAAAAAACAAAAAGAATATAATAATTCCAATCCGACTTTTTGAAAATACAGCTTTAAATACTACACAACAAAACATTCAAATTCTTCGTTAAAGTAGGTAATTAGGAATTTAATATTTTTGTATCTACGTCCTACCCACTAAACAGTAAACTCACTACATACAAACCAAAATCACTATGGGGGCTCTGCCCCCATAGCAAATTCACTATGGGGGCTCAAGCCCCCATTGCCCCCATGGTTCCGGCGCCTATGCAAAAAATGCTATAGCTAGGCCAACTTGAAACTCAGCCCCCCCCCACCGTTTTTTCAATTATTTTCATACTAAGGGTAGTTTTCAACAGACTCCCACGGCAGGTAAGGGGTTGTCCTTTGGAGGGAATATTTGAAATGGTTCTAGTTATCGTCCCAATCAAGTTTCAGAGCGTTACAGTTTCTCGAAATGTGTTTTTCCAATTGTTTTCTATCATTTTCTTACTAAGGGTAGTTTTTAACACACTCCGACGGCAGGTAAGGGGGTTTCCTTTGAAGGGAATGTTTGAAATGATTCTAGTTATCGTCCCAATCAAGTTTCAGAGCGTCACAGTTTCTCGAAATGCGTTTTTCCAATTTTTTTCTATCATTTTCTTACTAAGGGTAGTTTTTAACACACTCCGACGGCAGGTAAGGGGTTGTCCTTTGGAGGGAATGTTTGAAATGGTTCTAGTTATCGTCCCAATCAAGTTTCAGAGCGTTACAGTTTTCCGAAATGTGCTTTTCCAATTTTTTTCTATTATTTTCATGCTAAGGGTAGTTTTTAACACACTCCGACGGCAGGTAAGGGGTTGTCCTTTGGTGGGAATGTTCGAAATGGTTCTAGTTATCGTCCCAATCAAGTTTCAGAGCGTTACAGTTTCTCGAAATGCGTTTCTCCAATTTTTTTCTATAATTTTCTTACTAAGGGTAGTTTTTAACACTCCGACGGCAGGTAAGGGGTTTTCCTTTGATGGGAATGTTTGAAATGTTTCTAGTAATCCTCCAAATCAAGTTTCAGAGCGTTACAGTTTTCCGAAATGTGTTTTTCCAATTTTTTTCTATCATTTTCTTACTAAGGGTAGTTTTTAACACACTCCGACGGCAGGTAAGGGGTTGTCCTGTGGTGGGAATGTTCGAAATGGTTCTAGTTATCGTCCCAATCAAGTTTCAGAGCGTTACAGTTTCTCGAAATGCGTTTCTCCAATTTTTTTCTATAATTTTCTTACTAAGGGTAGTTTTTAACACACTCCGACGGCAGGTAAGGGGTTGTCCTTTGGTGGGAATGTTTGAAATGGTTCTAGTTATCGTCCCAATCAAGTTTCAGAGCGTTACAGTTTCTCGAAATGCGTTTTTCCAATTTTTTTCTATTATTTTCGTACTAAGGGTAGTTGTTAACACACTCCGACGGCAGGTAAGGGGTTTTCCTTTGAAGGGAATGTTTGAAATGTTTCTAGTTATCGTCCCAATCAAGTTTCAGAGCGTTACAGTTTTCCGAAATGTGTTTTTCCAATTTTTTTTTATCATTTTCTTACTAAGGGTAGTTTTTAACACACTCCGACGGCAGGTAAGGGGTTGTCCTTTGCTGGGAATGTTCGAAGTGGTTCTAGTTATCGTCCCAATCAAGTTTCAGAGCGTTACAGTTTCTCGAAATGCGTTTTTCCAATTTTTTTCTGTAATGTTCTTACTAAGGGTAGTTTTTAACACACTCCGACGGCAGGTAAGGGGTTTTCCTTTGGAGGAAATGTTTGAAATAGTTCTAGTTATCGTCCCAATCAAGTTTCAGAGCGTTACAGTTTTCCGAAATGTGTTTTTCCTACGAGCGTGCGCAAAGTAGTACTTTTCCGCACGCATTTCCGGACTCAAAGTTACACTTTTCCGCACTCAGTGCGGATACAGGCCTTATCCGCACTGAGTGCCGAAAAGTAATTATAATTGTCAAGCAACAATAAGTGCACCTGTCGACTTTGACACATGATGACAAATTTTTCCTCTATTTCTATATCAGCCAACATCTATACAAACACCAATTATAAATTAACTTTGACACATCAGATTTGTTCTCTATTCATATGCAAAAATCTACAAACTTTCTCATCAAATTTAAACGCTTTAAGATGAACAGCTCTGACGAGGATTTTCTGTTATTTTTTTTTGTTATGTAATTTTTTGATAAATGCATAGGTTCCCTTCAAGTTAATTAAAAATAATTAAACAAATTATCGTTTTTTTTAAAAAAAATTTTGTTATTACCTACCTGATATGAAGCTCGTAGGAAAAATTTAGTTCCTAACACGTGCGCAAAGTGTCTTTTCCGCACGCAAACACGTATCCGAACTCCGCTTCGCGTCGTTCGTATAACTGTGTTTGCGTGCGGAAAAGTAACACTTTGCGCACTTGTTAGGAAAATAACTATTTCCCATTTTTTTCTATCATTTTCATGCTAAGGGTAGTTTTTAACACACTCTGATGGCAGGTAAGGGGTTGTCCTTTGGTGGGAATGTTCGAAATGGTTCTAGTTATCGTCCCAATCAAGTTTCAGAGCGTTACAGTTTTCCGAAAAAAATTTTTTATATTATTTTCACACTAAGGGTAGTTTTTGACACACTCCGACGGCAGGTAATAAGGGGTTATCCTTTGGTGGGAATGTTAGAAATGGTTCTGATGATCGTCCCACTGAGTTTGATGGTGTTACACTCTCCCGAAATGCGCTTTTCCAATTATTTTAATAATAAGGGTTGATCCCAGCCTGACGGCAATGAGGGGTTGTTCTTCGAACTAGACGTACTTGAGGGCTATGTTAAAGACTATTCTAAATTTCAGGGTGTTATATTTTATTTTAGAAAAGTTGTTTTGTAGATATTAATGTTCTACTTGATGTTTTATTAGGGCTAGTTTTTTTTTTTTTTTTTTTTTCTGTTGTACTTTGCACGAGGGTATATAATAATAATGTACACAAAATTTGTAAATCAACCATTTAAAAAAAAAGAGCTGCCAAAAAATGGCTGCTAACTTCACAATTTTGGCTGCTACAAATGGCTGCTAACTTCACATTTTTGGCTGCTGCAAAAAGGCTGCTAACTTCACACCGGTAAAATTTCACTAGTTCACTCGAAGCTTCAAACTTTTGTAATGACTATTATATTAATATTGGGGTAGAAATGGAAAAAGCCATTCCACCACCACAATTTGAGCAACAAGTAGATCCCTCAGTGCCAAATTCTATTTACTTTAATCCCATAACAAAAAATGAATTAATCAATTATATCTCAACCTTAAAAAATAATAGTTCACCAGGCTACGATGGGATACGGGCCGATATTATAAAGCACACACATTTAGAAATTATCAACCCCCTATTACATATATTAAATTTAATCTTAGAAACAGGAAATATACCCTCTGAATTTAAAATTTCAATAGTTACGCCAATTCACAAAACAGGAACTAAGACCTCCATAAATAATTACCGACCTATCAGCCTTATTAGTAATTTTGCAAAACTTTTTGAGAAATGTATAAAAACCAGAATAATTAGCTTTTTTAAAAACAATAACGTGGGGTCGACAAACCAATTCGGATTTCTGAATGGGTGTAGTACCGAGGACGCCATGCACAAATTGCTAACTGAAGTCGTGGATAATCTAAACTCAAAAAAAAAATGTTTAACTGTATTTCTGGACCTTGCCAAGGCGTTCGATACTGTGCCTCATGATAAGCTTATCAATGTGCTTGAAAGATATGGAATAAGAGGAGTAGCTTCACAGTTGTTTAGAAGCTATTTGTCAGAGCGACTTCAAATGGTCAAGTTAAATAACACCTTGAGTAATAAACAAAAAATAAAAATTGGCATTCCACAAGGAACAGTCTTGGGACCAGTACTTTTCATAGCATACATCAACTCATTATTGAGGTTGCAGGTCGAGGGCGTAACTGTATCTTATGCCGATGATACGGCTCTGGTTGTCTCAGGAGATACCTGGGATAGTGTAAGGAATAAGACCGTGAATAGTTTGGCGAAAATTAAGAACTGGCTTCAATCTTATAAGCTAACATTAAACTTAGCAAAAACGAACTACGTAGCATTTTCACTTTCTGGTGCAAACAGACCACAATATGATTCCATCGTCGTAGATAACCATTGTATTAAAGAAACTCCATCAACGAAATACCTCGGAATTGTTATTGATAAATTTCTTAAGTGGCAACCACATATTGATTATGTTTCCAATAGAATTCGCAAACTCAGTCATAAGTTTTATTTATTGAGAGAATTTTTAAATAAAAGAACGCTTATAATAGTTTATAAAGCATTTGTAGAATCAATAATAGGATATGGAATATTGGTGTGGGGTGGACTTTATAATAACAGCCTGTACAAATTGAACATAATACAAAAATATATAATAAAAATTATTCTCAAAAAAAATAGATTGTATCCTACACATTTGCTTTTTGACAGAGACATTTTTAACATTCGATCAATATATATTCTCAAGATTTGCTCCTATATACACACTCGACCTAACATGAAAATGTTAGCTGATCATACTTATGAAACAAGATCGAGGTGCGACAGGCAAATTAAACTACCAATAAGTACTAATAATCTTAATCTAAGATACATAAATTATTTTGGCCCTAAACTGTACAACCTATTGCCACAGGAAGTAAGAAATTGCTCTTCAATAAGAAGTTTTAAAATTTTAAGTAAAAATGTTATTTATGAGAGTCTTCATCAATTTGAAAGGTTTTTTAGCTAAGTGTTCCGTGGTGTTTGTAGGGCAGACTTTGTTGTCTGCATGTTTGTGTGGGACTGATAAATTGTAAAACCAACCAATATGTGAACTGTTACTTTGTTATTTTTCTTTTTTTTCTCTCTCTTGCTCTTAATTCTTAATGTACACTTAAATTATAAAAACTACAAATACAAATAAAAACACTGCTTAGCGATGCTGCACATACAGATGTTTCACATCTAGGTGCTTATAGAAAAAAAAAATATATATAGAATAATTTAAAAACTAGCTAGATAACTTATGTACAATTGTTGGATGTTAGATATAAGAGAAATAAACTCATTTTCTGGAAGAAGTTTCTTCTGGAAAATAAACTATAAATACGGATACTCTCAAAGAACCAAAAATTACAGTTACTCTCTTAGGACAGTCAGTAGTAAATCAAATGAAACAGTTAGGGTTAGATTTGAAGGACTGTGTTGGTATAGGCTGTGATAACTGCACAGTCAATATGTCTGAAGTAAAAGGTGCTGCACAAGAAATTCAAAAAAGTGCCCAGAATGCTAGGATTTGTCCTTGTTTCAATCATAGCCTAAATTTAGTTCTATCCCGTTCGCTCAAAGTACAGGCAGTGAAAAACTCACTTGGTGTCGTTCAGGAAGTAGTAACTTTTTTTCATCTTTCGGCAAAAAGAAACTTTGTGCTTCAAAAATATTTAAAATGTAAACTAAAGAGTCCTTGTCAAACACGCTGGATAGAAAGACATGATTCTATTCTGCAATTTACGTCTGATTTACCACTTATTGTAGAAACATTCACAGAAATATTGGAGTGGAACGATAATACTTCTTCATCTAAAGCCAATATTTTACTTAAATCATTATGCGATTGCGAGTTCATACTAACCATGTTTTGTTTATCGGACATATTTAGCATCACTTTACCCCTTAGCAAATATCTTCAAGGTTGCAATATTGACCTAAATTCAGCATCGAACAAAATAAAAGATCTTGTCAAAGTCCTAAAAAAAAAAAAACGTGCAGATGCCGATGATTACTTCACGTCAGTAATTGTTAGACAGGCCAAAGAAACCCTTCAAAAACTAGATGTAGATCTTAAATGTCCTCGACTCTGTGGTAGACAAACAAAGAGGGATACGTTTTCCGATTTCAAAGAGATATCACCCATTGATTATTGGAAGCGAGTCTTATTTATTCCGATTTTGGACAATTTAATTGTCGATCTAAAAAGTCGTTTCAATGAGAGTGATATTTCTATTTGTGGCTTAAATGTATTAATTCCCAATACCCTCAAACAAATATCTGATAATGAAGTATTAACTAACCATTTACAGACCTTATTAAGAAACTTTGGCGAACTATTAGGAAGTCCTTCACTAATGCAGTTCATGGGCGAGGTACTATTATATAAAGAGAGTTCATCTGCCACGGATAATGCTCTTGAAGCTTTTAGAAACTGTGACAGGAATTATTATCCAAATGTATGTAATTTGTTGAAACTAATGTGTACTATGACAGTTTCTGTGGCCACAGCTGAAAGAAGTTTCTCCACTCTTAGGATTATAAAATCCTATTTAAGGGCTACAATGGCACAAGATCGCTTTAATGGTCTGGCTTTACTATATGTTCACCGAGATATAAACGTAGATATAAATAAAATTATTAGTATTTTTTCTTCTAAAAAAAGAAGACTTGATTTTGTCATTTAGTAGTACCTACTGGGTTATTTGTTATTTAGTTTATTTGTTATTTAGTTTATTTTTTCAACTTTTCCCGTTGGTATTGGTATTGATATGTTTTTTGTCAAGTGTCAAGATCAATTTGTCGACAAATTGATCTCAAAAACCGGGTTTTGCGTTAAACGTAGATTTATTATGTTGGTGCAACAACCCCTTACTATTTTTATTTATGTTATATTTGTTTAAAAATATACAAGCAGAATGCGTGTTTTTTTAATGGGTTTCAGTAAATAAAAAAATAATAGATAATAAATATATTATATATTTAAGTCGTTTTTTTATTATCTCTTATCTGAGCCTGAGGCCCTGATGGAGCGCCCCCCCCCCTAGAAGGAATCCTAAATCCGCCGCTGCTCTTATCTGACGCCCCTCTTAAAATGCCATCAAGAAAGGAAAATTAAAAACCTGACCATGGCAAAGGTGCACTACTGGATTGGAATAACAATCAGGAATTTTGTTACTATCAGGACTCGTATCAGGATTATGGGAACAAGAAAATACTGAGCCATTACATTTCACATATTCTTCGAGCTTCTCAAGATTTGAAGGCAAATTATTGAGAATTCTCAAGGGCAATGAAACAATGAAAACATTTCTGAAAAGAAAATGCAGAGTGCAGCAAGTTAAGCTACATCTGCGAAAGCTCCACATTACATTGATAGCTTACGAATATTTAAAAATTGCTAGTAGTAAGTAGTAAATCAAATTAATGATAAATGATTGTTGATAAACAATACAGGATGCGTCAGTCAGACAAAACCTCGCTTTGCATTATCGAAAAAATTTGCAAGTAATGAAGGAAATAAATGAAATGGCAACTTACCATGGGTTTAACAAGGCACTTATTTTAACTAATAGTTCATTATCACTCCGATCTTCGAAAAGTGAAATATTCACTTGCTTTTCATCTTTCATTAGACAAAGTCTGCACATCAACGTCATTCCACTAGGACTAGCCATTTTCATTTTAATTTTCTCCCGAAGTAAATTGGAATTTTATCAGAGAAAAACACAAACTTTAAAAAGAGTACGTTAACTAACAACACAACAACAAAACACCATGTCATTTGTGTGGTTATGGTATTCATTAGTAGAATAGAGCTTATCTATATCGATACAAAATATCGATATACCCTCGATTCAATATAATCGATAAGAATTTTTCATATCGATATTATATCGCTACAAAATTCAAACCATCATGACTGAGTTCGGCTTTGCACTCCACGGAGCGGAACGGTGTGAACATAAATATCGTGACGTCATACGCGAGGCCCAACGCAAAAAAGAACACTCTGAGAGCTAAAACGCATAGGACCTTGACGTTTCGAGCGCGCTCAGAGTTTACAGAGTTTAAAGGCTGGTTCATGCATGAAAATATTTTCCATTTCTGTAACTTAGTCACTACCTATCTATATCCGTAAGTAATGTATAAGTTGCATGTATTTATATCCAGGTGTTCATGCACATTACTTTTCCTTATCCTTTTCTCTATTCTCTATTGAAGATAGTTAACTTTTATCTTTTACGGATAAAATCGACGGCGCCTGCGCAGTAGATAAAAACATCCAACTTTTTCGACTTAACCTCAAAAACAGGCAATCTTTAAAAGTAAACAACAAATACGTCTAGAAATACGTGCCTGGAGCTGAAAAAATAATTATAGAAAAGACATTTTTTATGTTTTTGACTCGAATTTGAATGGATCAGATCATAATATGCAAAAGAAATCTGCTCGTTACGAAAAATAGTGCTTCTCCGAACTGGTTGCACAAATAACTATTATAAAACCCTGATAAAACCACACAATAATTTCAATTAACATAGGAAATCTTATTGGACCGTTCGCAGTTTCTCATACACGTCAAACAGTGTCGTTATTAAAGACTGATGAAATGAAAACTCTTAATTTTTAGTGCATGAAATACCTGAAATTTTACGGAAAAAGAAAAGCTTATGCATAAGGAAAAAGTTAAAGAAACGGAAAAAGAATATATGCATGAACCAGCCTTAAAGCCAAACTAGGTAGGTTTGCCAGGGCTGCGTTCAGGAATGGCTACAGCCAAGCCAGAATCGGCATTTTGCGTTCGAGTTTGGCTCCAACCTACGTGGTTTGGCATTACCGGTGGAGGGGGAAAAGTAGGTTTTGGCATTAGCTTTGCCGTCCTTGAACGCACTCCACAGACGTCCCGATTTTAACGGGACAGTCCCGATATTGGACATTTTGTCCCGTGTCCTGATGGACTATACGTCGGGACGCTAAATGTCAAGTCCCGATTTTTTAACAACTTTTTGATTGGTATACCCGATCTGTGGATATTTCAATAGTTGTATTCCTTTCAATAGTTTGAAACACTCGAGCTACTCGCTTCAGTGTTTAGTCGCTCCCGATTTGCAGGGAACAGATGCGTGGTGCAACAAACACTTTTCGAAAGGAATAAGCGCGTGAAGCCCCGGAGCTGTTCCGGAGCTCCTCATAGGTGTGAAAGGAATACAACTGGGTCGATAATCGTTCCGTCGAGAGCGCTCCTTGTCGCTTTTGCTCCCTGTCTAGGCGGTGACGTCACAGATCTCTGCGGAAGTACTCCAAGAGCAATTATAATCTAACGAGGCCATACCATTTGAATTTAAAATCACTGACCGAACTCTATTTTGACTTTTTTATTGTTTTTCTCCAAACTCTTTAGTCTTTTTCACGTGGCTCTGGTTCAAACCAGAGATATGAGTATAAAATGGACTGCGTGTTCCGTATAGTTGCCGTACGCGGCAGTGATGGAAAGATGGTTAGGCAACCAGTCTTTCACATTGTGGGCAAGAAGCTACACAAGCGCATTACCCACAACGAGAAATAGCACATAATTTCATTTAAAGGTAATATACAGGGTGTTTGGAAGGTCGATGCAAAGTCTTGGGAAGGTGATAGGGGAGGTCATTTAGACTTAATTAAGCCAAACATACCTTAGTACAAAGTCTTACGGTTTTCGAGTTTTTCGAACGTTTTGGATTTCTCCTTTTATCTCTAAAATAAAAGATGACAGTTTGATGATATTTTTTTTTTGATAGTAAAACGTTTGTCTTTTCTGAAAGTGTAAAGAAAAGAAAACCATACTGACTGCAAAAAAAATAATAAATACATTTTTGGTAATTTTTCTTTTTACTGATAAAAAATTACTTTTTCTGCTGAAGTTTATTAACTAAATCAGCTGTAAACAAGCTGATTTTATTAGTAATACTTTATCAGAAAAAATAATTAATTTATTATTTTTTGTAGTTCGTTTGATTTTCTGTTCTTTACATTTTCAGAAGAGACACACGTTCTGCTATTGAAAAAAAAATTATTGTTAAGCTGTCATCTTTTATTTTAGAGATAAAAGGAGAAAAAAGTGAAAAATTGCCTTTTTTTAAAGAAATCCAAAACGTTCGAAAAACTCGAAAACCGTAAGACTTTGTACTAAGGTATGTTTGGCTTAATTAAGTCTAAATGACCTCCCCTAGCACCTTCCCAAGACTTTGCATCGACCTTCCAAACACCCTGTATAATTAGCTATCGATAGTGTATCATTAAAAACTAAATACCAGACGTGCTTAAATGTATGTGTTTTGTGCAGACCTGTGAGGCAAAAAAATAAAACAACATTTAACGTTAGATAAAAAAACTTGTTATTCCTAAACAATTCTTGGGCAAATTCAAAGGCACAAAATACTAGATTGTAAGGTACAAATACTTATATGTAATCTTAAATTTAGGATTTAGATGCAAAACTGATTTTAATTCTACTGGTTCTTAAAAATTACAAGTTTTGTATACATTTCCCTAACTCTATCAGTGATTCTACTTGCTTCCTTATTCTGATCATGGATTCTAACGAGAAAATGAACACGTAAAATTGCGTTGATCAGCTGAAGTAAATGATTATTAATAGGATCTTGGTTCAATATATGATCACCAAGCTCCTTAAAATAATTGTGAATGTTCATGTCACTCATGGCCCATATTATAATTTTTTTGAGTGTAATGAGTACGAATTTTTTTTTAGGCTAAACTGCACAGTTTTATTACATCTTCTGATGCCTTACATAATCCCCCAAGATCTTTTCTATTTAGTAAAAGTGATGACGACTCATCAGAAAACAAAAAATTACAACAAATCGCGTCTCTAACACTAACGTATAACAAGTGCGCGCGGATTTCTGCCCCTAATGTGCAGTTAGGGAGGCCGCACATCAAAGAAACATGAAACGTAAAACATGAAACATAAAACGTGAAACACGTTTCATGAAAATAGAAGAAGAACAAACAAATACAAGTCCGCACACCAATGAAACGAATTTGTTTCATGCGCGAGAAACATTTTTATTACATGAAACGTGTTTCATGAAATAGATTGCGTTCTATTTTTTTGTTTCAGTTTCACTGTTTCTCTTCATAGGTAATAAATTTGCGAATGTTTGTATATCTACTCTTTCTATAAAACGATTGAAATTTGGCAGGATAATTGTTTAATTCCTTTGCAACCCAAATATATGCTATGTTTATGATTTATATTATTGTATGGATGTACCCAGTAACGTCGTTTCCTTTTTTTTTGCTTTTTGATGATAAAGAAGAGACGCCACAACAGCAACAACAACCTCGTCCTCACTTTCCATTGTGTACTACACTCTACTACACCCTACTTCTACTACCCTGAAACGACTTTGCAAATATAATAATTATAT